TTTAATTAAACATATCATTTGACCAGGGGCGTTCAAACTTTTGCACATGACTGTAGTCTCCCTTGACCACTAAGTTGTGCTGCTGAGAAAGGATTCCTAATTTGAAAACTCATTTTTGTGTTTTCATCCAATCCCCACAGGAATAACCTTTATATGCCTCCAGCTGTCCTTCAGACTGGCTAGATTAGCTACAACACCCATCTATACCAAAATCGAGTCCACACAGGACACCATCCCTGGGCTTGACTTCACCTTATCCAGCATCATCACCTTCCCCGCCATTATACCTATCAGGTAAACTTGTCATTTGAAATATATTTATGTATTTTTTCCTTACACATAATTTTAAAAAAATGTAAATATATCACTAGAATATGTTTCCTTTTCCTTCCAAAGTGTTGTAGGCTGCCGTACTGCAAAGCAGGAGAACTATGAGAGAATTCAAGGGGACTAATACTATCAAACCACCATCAGAACGGAAGGCAGAATGAGTAAACGAGTGCACCTTGTTCTATCACTAGCTCTGAAAACATGCCGCATGAAATGTTGATGCTGAACAGGTGCAGCTCTCCACTTTTCACAACACATTTGTGTCTACTGGAAGTTTAGTAGCATTATTGCATTATATTTTACTCACTGATTTTATTTTAAAGTAGATTTTTTATATTTCTTATTTTGTAACGTTTTGTTCTTCTGAGCTCTTTGTGTTCTGTATGTTGTTACATCATTGTCACACTGTTACGTTTAGCTTTATCTTACCAAGTATCTTACTGCTCCCCCACACAACCCAGGAGGATAAGTGGCTTAGATAATGTATGTGTGTGTGTGTTCTTTTTAATCTCTCAGTGTTACATTTAGCTTTATCTTACCAAGTGTCATCGCTTTGTGACCACTGTATAGGTGTTTACATTGCCTTTAACCACAATGATGTTGAATTTATGAATGTTGATTATCTGGAAATTGACATATTAATAATGGCATTATTATTATTAATAATATTATTTTTATGTTCTTTTTAATCTCTCTCATGGGACAGATGTGTGTCCCATAAATGCTCCTTTCCTTTTTATATACAGTAAGTTTACACTGTGTCATTTCCACTGAAAACATTGTGCTTGAAACTTATTCAAAAGGTATTCATGTGATATAATGGACTGAAACATCCACTGGACTACAGTAAAGAGTATGGACTCTTAAACATACTTTCAAAAAGGCATTAATATATCCTTCTTTTAATTGGTTCAATATTTAAAATCTGTTGATTAAAGATTGTACCATAAAAACAACATCAATGTACAAGCTATTTGTCTTGCAAAATTTACATCAACATTATAGTAAACAACTCACTCAAGAGGGAAGATTTGGAACACTAAGGAACCAAAACATTTTGGGAAGTCTGAAAACCAGATTCATTATACAAAAGTCCCTCAATTTTACTTTTTCTTCTGCCCTGTCATCGACTTTGGAACTCCTGATCACATGAAAACATGAGGATGTGCTGCAGTCATGAAAAATGAACTGAGAAATGAAACCAAAATAACTCACACATTGTGGGTTATTAAGAAAACTAATGACAAACAGAGAAAGTATTTCTGTTGTCCTTGTTTGATGTCTGGTTGATGCACTATACTTGCCTATTTTATATTTTACCCCCTACAACTTTCAAAAATGACAACGTTGAGTAGCGTAGCTGCCTTAATTTTTTCACATCACATTACATACGCCTAATGGAGACAAAGATTCCCTGATCTTTCTTCACATTTTTGAAATTATATTTAGTAATCCATTACATTTCAGTTGACATTGGGCTTTATAAGATTTAGATCTGTAAACATATTCAAAAGGGATAAACACAGGTGATAAAGACGGGCACCAAATTAAAAACAATAAGAGAATTCTTTTGTCCAGCAGAGGGAGCCAGAGGCATGCTTGGATATATTATGATAGCGTCAGCAAGTATGGGCATGTCCTTTTTTTTAATGCCAAAGTAGGACCATGTAGCTCAAAATCCTGGTCTAAATTTTGTTAAGCAGAAAAAAACATTTACAAGTCTACTCACATTTTTGTTATTTTTTCATCTTCCAACTCACCTGAGCATAATTAGCATTTCAAAGTAGACTGGATGATCTTCTAATATAATCAAGATAAAGACAACATTTATTTAGTTTAAATTTAGTTAAACAAATATTTAGTTAAAATGACAGTAGTCACATTATTTGGTCTCCACTGCACGTAATAGACTTAAAGGGGCATTCTGGCTAAAATTAAAAATGTAACCATTGCTACATTTGCTTTAAACATGCCTAATCATCTCCTACAGTGGTGCCACAATAGTCGTTAGAAAATATCTTTCGGGTTAAAGGCTAGGAAAACCTCCTTCTGATGACATATCTTGAAGGTGGGAGGAAGTTTTGGAAAACTACAAGTGCATGGGCAAATCCAGAAAAGAGCCTGATCGCTAACGTTTCAGCTAGGAAGACAAATATCATGTCTGTATTTATTAGCCTCTACATAAATGGTACATCAATGAATTTCTTTATTACTGTACGGAAAAATGGTTGTGTGACACTGTATAGCCTTTGTGTAATGCATGCTGGGAACTGAAGTGAGAGAACAGTGATGAGTGAAAAATTCAAGGGAACTAATACTATCAAAAATCATGAATTCTGTCAAACAGATGAGGGTGAGGGATGCAATGATGTGCTAGAGAATATTACATAACCTGAAAAATAACATATTACATGCTAGTTGTAGACCAGTAAGCCCCTTTAATCCAAGTTCAGACAAATGAGTTAGCCCAGAGAGACGTCGCTTCCCTGAGCACTCTCAAAAATAACGTTCATTTTTGTGATCACTGCTTTAACACATTTTTTGTGTCAAACCACAAAGTCACAGCACATCACAAATACACAGACAATGTAATCTGAACACATTTTTGTGTTAAAAGTCTGAACACTGCCTATGTTTAACACATTTGCTGTGTTACACATTGTGTGATTGTAACACGTTTTCTGAATGTAGAAAATACGCATGCCATTATAGCCCTTTACAAGATAAAGTATTATTAGCTTTGGACAAGAGCAGGCCTTAATACAGCTGCATACAGCTATACAGCCCCAAGTCATGAGACTGTAGAAGACAATGGAAGCAGAAGGGAAACAGAAAGCATTGTGAGCTATAAGTGACAGCACCTATAGCTTTAGCTCTTAACATAACCAGCTGACCTGAAAATGGGTTACTTATAGTTTGTAACAGAATGAATCAGCACAAAGAACAAATGGTGTGACAGAGCTCCATCCAATACTCCTGGGATGAGCTGGAGTGGAGTCTGTAATCCAGAACTAATGATTCAACATCAGTACCTGACCTTACTAATGCTCTTGTGGTTGAATGCAATCAAAGCCTCACAGCAATGTTTCAACCTCTAGTGTAAAACCTTCCCAGAAGAGTAGAATAAGTGACTTATTCCCTCAAAATAATTACTTATTTTCTTAAAACATTACAATAATATTTCAAAATAATTACTTAATTTCTTGAAATATTGACTTGGCATCTTAAAATAATGACTTACTCTCTCCAAATACTGAGTATCCTGACAAAATGCTGACAAAATGCAGTTGGCTCAACCTTATCGTGATGACCTGTACTGAGTTCATGGCTGTCTCACAGCACACACACTGTGAGACTGTCATTCCAAAATAATTATTACATACACTGTAAAAAAATGTTAGCTTGCGCAACAACAAAAAAACTTGTTACAAGGTGAAAGGGAGCTAAAAGGTACGCAGAGAAAGAGATAGACTGAAATCTGTAAGTTAGGAATACCTTAAAAATGGCCAGTGAGTGTATATGCATGTGTGGGAAAGAGAGACAGCAAGAGAATGAACAACTGAAGCCTACCTTACTGTGCTAAATATACTCTTCCCTCAACAGATGTGGAGGTCTTTGGTCAATTTCTTCTTCACTTTCAGCTCATGAAAGTACTTTTACTCAAGTTCAGAAGTTTTGTACTTTATTCCTGGCGAGAAGGCTCCTATAGCTGCAATGTGGTGGGTGGGAGGGGGCCTAGAAGTAGAGAAAAAAGAGACACTGAAACAGAACTTTTAAGTATAATTAATATTTTAAACTTTGGTTGTAGAAGACAGGGATCCACCATGGAAGCAGATCTATTAGTAATGAAAACTCGAGAGGAGTGAAAAAGGTAGTTGAGAAAGCACAATTCACTGCAGGTGAGTTCAAAGGCATCCTCACCTGTCAGACTTTTAGCAATTTTAAAATGAAAAATTCTGGAGCACTTTAAACTACAAAAAAGGAAAAAAGAAGTGGTTCAGTCACGCAAGAAAGTTTTATTACCTAAAAACAAAGCATGGACACCAGTTTCAAAGACAGAAGCCCACCATCTCACAATGTCATCCCCATCCTTAAAAGTGGGCAGATTGTGGTCCATATTGTGCTGGAGAACAAAACAAAACAAAAATGTTCTGTTTTCTATTTCAATGGTTATTACAGTCAGTCAATCATCATCTGCCTCGGTACGGGTGGAATCTCTCGTATATTTTTGCCGAAACATCAGTTGCCGAGCCTCACCCGTACCTGTCCCGATTCCGGTGTGCCAAAACTATTAGCCGAGACCGTCGCACAGCAACCGAGCTCGAGCCGTCTCTTTATGTTGGCTGAATTATTAGCCTATTAGTATGTTAGCTAGCATTATATAATCTACTACATGATAAAATATTTATAGTCCATCAACAGAGGGTCAAACTCAAACGTTACATCAACTTGAAATCGCCAGTTGATGCAGGGTGTGTGCTGAAACACAGCTACGAACTCAGTACAGGGTGCTGAGTGAGTTAAATCTCCATTAGAAAGTTGGGCCGGCTGTATTTTTGTAATTTTCCTAGCTAACATTTAGCGAGTTGGATTTTTTACAGTGTACCTGGCTTCCCATAAAACCTGAGTGCCGAGGAAAGAAATCGAAGGGGAGAAAGAGGAGGGGGAGGAGGGAGGGGCGGTTAACTGGTGCTTTGCGCTGAAAAATCTAACTTCAGAACAGGGTCTGCTAAGAAAGCACAGGAAGCACGAGCCCGTTCCACTGCACAGACAGACAGACAGACAGAGAGAGAGAGAATAAGCAGACCTCTCTCTCTCCTCGGGTACAGTGAATGTTTCTCTTTCTTTCTGCTCGCTGTACACATTAAAATGTGTCTCTAAGTTGTGACTGAAGATCTCCAATCTTCTCACAAGACTATTAGCGTCACTGTTTACTTTCTGCTTGCGTGTATCATGAGTAATCCAGAAGTTATTTCACTGAGTAACTTCCCTATCGCTGACAGAGGCTTGTCTGATTTTATCCTCGGCCAGTGTCTGAGAGCTGTACAGCGGCTAAAACGCGTAAATATCGGTCTACACGACTCATTCGGGCGTTCGCGTCTGACTGACCGCTGTGTTCGTCCTAGTTAGGGACGGAGGAAGGCGCACGATGCTCGTCGTGGGAGCGACTGAGTCCACAGACGTTGACCACAGTTGAGGAAGCGTTCATAAAGTCGAGTGCCATCACGCCTCAGGCACTCAGTGCTGCTCAGCGTTTGCCCAACGGTCTCTCTCTCTCCCTGTGTCTCTCTCTTTCTGTCACGCAACATGGCTGTGGTGCGCTCCTTACGGCAATACGTGGAGCCGGTGGTGTTTGGCGCTCAGATGGCCTGCTCCTTCTTCGACACTGGTCTTCAGATGGTGGTCAAGCAACGAAGCGAGAACGCCACGAGCCCTTCTGACCCGCACGAAGACCAGAACGCCATCGCCAACTTCTACATGATTTTCAACATGCTGACAGACTTCATCCCAATCCTTCCCGCCCTCATTTTGGCGCGAATTGGAGACAGGGGTTACCGGAAGGTCCCCATCGTAGTCCCTCTGGTGGGATACTCTTTGTCCAGGGCTCTTTTATTACTCGTCATCTGGCTGGAGTGGAGGATTGAGGTGATGTATGTAGCACCGGTGATCTACGGACTGTGTGGGGGCTTCTCGTCCTACTGGGCAGGCGTCATCGCACTGGTGTCTGTTAGCACCAGCGAAGAACAGCGCTCGCTCCGCATCATGCGCATAGAGCTTGTGTACGGCATCGCCGGCTTTCTGGGCAGCCTGGCCTCAGGTCACCTGTTCCAGCTGTACACCGTAGGGATGAAGCAAGGTGTTCTGCTGGCTAGCATGAGCGTGGCGCTGTACGTCTTCTGCCTCCTGTATGCCACATGCGTCCTACAGGTGAGTCGGATCACCTTGGAGCGGCGGGAAAGCACCAGCAGCGGCATCATCACCCACAACAGGCAAGACAGGACCATCATCGCGCTGCTCTTCATTAGTGGGATCTTGTACGACGTAGCCGTCGCAGGCGGCGTGCAGATCTTGTCCGTTTACGTCCTGAATGCGCCTCTGGAGTGGAGCGCCAGCGAGGTGGGCTATGGGAACGCTGCAGGCTTCCTCATCTTCATCACCAGCTTCCTGGGCATGAAGTTTTTCACCAGGTTTGCTGTGAGTGACACAAGCATGATAATGATAGGCATGGTGTCATTCATGACCGGGATCTACTTCATGACCTTCGTCACCACCACTGCCATGTACTTTTTAGGTAGGCTTTCATGCATTTATGTGTTCATTCTATAAAGTATTAGTTTGTGAAGGAAGCCCAATATTATTCATAGTTACCGTCCAGTACCTGGTTTGGTTAATCAGTGCTTCAATAAATTAAATAAGTAGAGCTGGTGATGGAATTTAACAAATCTGAGATGGCTGGGGTGTTGATGAGAAACCTGCAACCAGAAGTGAGAAGTCTGGAACCAGCTCTTTCTTGAAAACAAGAAACTCTTGTTAATTTTTACTACATTAATGTTTGTATTTATTATCATGTTATATAGCGTTTTACAAGCAAAAACACAAGGATTGTCCAGATAAATAGTTTTACTTTTTGCATTATTTAAAAGTTACAGTTATCCTTCACATTGTGTTGAAATTTCACAGTAAATAGACCAACAGAAACAGACCAAAACAATTGGGAAAGCAATCAATGTTACATCATATTTCATTACATGTTAAAAAGTTTTTTTTCTTCTCATTTTGGAGATGCAAGGTTTTATTCCAACAGCAACAATATATGTAGATGGATCATTATTTTGATTCAGATACAGCTTATGGCAGACATATTCAAATCACAGCCCTGGAGGCCTACAGATTTTCCACCATTTATCTTTACAGTTTGGTGTGATGACAAAGTGGCCAGCTATTGACCTTAACTGTTCAAATAACTGTCAGTGTTTATGAAATTTAGGACCAAATTTGGAAGTGAGGGCCAGATTTGATATCACTGATTTACAGCATGAAATGTGTCACAGTAGAAAAGGTGAGATGGCAATAAATACAATCCTTTGTCTGAAAACGAAAACAGAAGGCTGCCCAGAAATCACAAAACCCTGCAGACCTGCAAATGAGGAACTGAGATAGGGAAGCCATGAGCGAATGATGCGTGAGCGATGTAGATAGACGCTGCCAATTCTGTGCTTACAAGGAACATGTGAACAACTACTTTGCAAGGGTCGATCCACTTCATCAAAATCATAAAGTGTAAAAACAATACTTTTCAGCTCTGCACTATTTACCAAATCACTGGACACTCAAATAACTGATCTGTTTTTTTGTTTTACAGCTCGTTCCGTCATGTTGTTTGCGCTGATCCCCATGCCGACCATTCGCTCCCTGCTGTCCAAGCAGGTTCAAGGAACATCATATGGTAAGATCCAGTTTACCTTGAGCCCACATTATGGTCTGTTGGCTTCTATGCGTTACTTGTATCGCCACTTTTTGTGAACACTGACACCGATTGTGCTCCTAGCAGTGAAAGACGCATTAAAGCAACACAGATTCAGTATTACTTTTGGTTAAGATAGAACTGCAGTTTAGATTATCAGCTGTCAAAAATAATTCACTTGATAGGCGGACTAGGGTGAAAGAAGAAGTGAAACCACACTTTGATGTATTCGAGGGAGGTAACCAAATGACATTGTTACCCTGAGAACCACAGCATTTCCTCCCTTTCCTTCAGCTCTGGCCTGTATGTAAGACGACTGAGAGCACAAATCGTATCTCCAAAATAGTAACTTTACAGGAGTTCCATATGAAGTGAATCAGTACATAGTAAATACATATTCAGGCACTGGCTAGGTCCCTGGAGGTGGGAAATCTGGAACGCTGACAAACTCAATTACATGTGACACAGATGCGGAGACAGTACCAACAATATCGGCTGTAAAGCTCCTTCACAGTGCTTAGCCATACTGTCATTTTTTAGGATGGCTTATTATTTCATGAACAGTGTTATTTTGTTGTGTTTCACTCACTCATACGCACACTGCGTAAAAGTAACATCATAAATATTAAAAGTACAGGGAGATTCACTCGAAAGAGACCCCAAATATTCTGTAATATCTCTCGCTAGGACGAAGCAATCTGAACAAAACAACGTGCAATGTACTCCTCAGTATATGGAGCTTCGAACAAGCCGGACTGAGCGGTGAGGTAGGCGCCGGACAGCCGTCATGACATTTAACCTCCATTTACAGCTTCCGGGTGCATACCCCCGTACCCCTTCATGTGTCTGGCAGAAAACGGAGGTCACTTCCAGCATCACATGTAATGCAATCGATTACACATGCGTCAAGGTATGTCGCTTTTTTTTTTTTTCAGATTGCTTCATCCTAACGCGAGTTACAACAGAATATTCGGGGACTCTTTTGAGTGAATCTCTCTGTATTATATACAGCCATTATGTTATGTATACACGTATCGCCCCAAGTTTTTCCACAATATATTGCTGTATCGATATTTCGAACACAGCCTTACGTCACTGCAGTTCTCAGGAATGTTAAATTCAAAGCACCTCACAAAGTTGGCTTTTAACTCACTCACTCATGTTTAGCAGGTGGACATTGTTCACAAGAGGGTGCTTTTAGCACTCATAGCTTTTGGTGCTTCTTAAAAGTGGTGCCTCACATCACACTTTAGAGCTGCAGACATCCAAAAGCCTTCACTATACTATAGCTAAAGAGACTATAAATTACATTATGCTTTGTGGCAGCCAGCTCATCAGAGACACTCTCATGCCATCCTCCAGCAAACAAATAGATAGTGAGTACAGGTTCTGCCACTGGAAGCAGTACAAAGGCAGTAGATAGGTGGTATTTTAAGATGCTGTGGGTGGAGCACTGCCTGTTGAAGTTTTTTAATACTATGTGTTTGACTCCAAGTGATCATTAGTGTCAGTCAAGTGTACAGAAAACAGAAATTAGTCTCAAGAACGTTTACATGCTTATTTTTCATGGTAAGGTGCTCTGCTTGTGATAAACATACAGAAATTGATGTCTACAATCAGTGAAACATCCTCTAAAGAGAATAAATGTCGTGTAATACATTTGTTGCCTGTTCATGAGAACAAGAAAAGCTGAGAGAACTTTAAAATTTGAGAGGATGCAGTTTTCATATAAAAATGAAATTGTGATCTCTAATTCCAAATACACTGTCTGCAAAGAAGATACCGTACAAATAGATGTTTGCCCCTCAAAGCAAAAACCCCATACAAAATGGTCCTTCCACCAGTTTTTCAAAATTTCTGCATGATTAAGTGTGTAAGATGTCATCCAGAGTGGTTTGATGTAAAATGCTCCATTCTAGAGAAACTTTCTGATTCAGAATTGTTCACAGTCGTGGTGGTTGTGATAGGAACTGATGTATGGAGTTTAATGCCTCTGAAAGCCACATCACAGAAAGTTACTACATAAAATGCTTATGATTATACTGCCTGATGTCTGAGACGTTGTTCTATGAAAGTTATAGCTTTTGTTTTTTGACTAAAGTGTATTTTTAAAATGCAAAAAAAAAAATTTGTTTCCTGTTGAGAATGTGTTAACATATTTTCAAACTTGTTCAAACTATCGCAGACGATTGTAGCCTCCCTTGACCACTAAGTGGTGCTGTTGACCAAGGATTCCTAATTTGAAAACTCATTTTTGTGTTTTCATTCAATCCCCACAGGAATGACCTTTATATGCCTCCAGGTCTCCTTCACACTGGCTAGTGTAGCTACAGCACCCATCTATACCAAAATCTATGAGTCCACACTGGACACCTATCCTGGGTTTGTCTTCACCTTATCCAGCATCATCACCTTCCTCTCCATTTTACCTATTAGGTAAACTGAGAAAACTGATCATCTGAAATATATTTATGTATTTTTTCCTTACACATAATTCTAAAAAAATAAAAAGTGTTTGTTTAGCAGATAAATTTAAAATATATCACTAAACTGTGTTTCCTTTTCTTTACAAAGTGTTGTAGGCTGCCGTGCTGCAAAGCAGGAGAACTATGAGAGAATTCAAGGGAACTAATACTGTCAAACAACCATCAGAATGGAAGGCAGAATGGGTGAACATGAGTGCATCTTGTTCTATCACTAGCTCTGAAAACATATTCATTCTGAACAGGTGCAGCTCTGCACTTTTCACAACACATTTGTGTCTACTGGAAGTTTAGTAGCATTGTTGCATTATTTTTTTACTCACCGATTTCACTTTAAAGTAGATTTTCTGTATTTCTTATTTGTGAGAAGTTTCTGACCTTCTCAGTTCTTAGTTGTTACATGTTGTTATATCATTGTCACTTTGTGAATGTGACCACTGTATAAGAGTTTACATTGCCTTTAACCTTGTGGAATTTATGGATTTTGATTTCATCAGGAGACTGACATGTTAATAATGTCATTAATAATAATAATAATATTATTTGTATGTTTTTTTATCCTGCCTTCCGCCCACTGACCGCTGGGATACGCTCCAGCAAAAGCACTGTACTTGAAACTTATTCGAAAGGTTTTCATATGATATAATGGACTGAAACATCCACTGGACTACAGTAAAGAGACTCTTAAAAACATACTATCAAAAAGGCCTTAATATATCCTTTTGTTTAATTGGTTCAATATTTAAAATCTGTTGATTAAAGATTGTGGCATGAAAACAACATCAATGTACAAGCTATTTGTCTTGCAATTTAAACATCAAAATTTACATCAACATTATAGTAAACAACTCACACAAAAGGGAAGATATGGGACGCAACGGACCAAAACCTTTTAGGGAGTCAAAAAAACAGATTCATAATACAAAAGTCTTATTCCCTCAGTTTTACTCTTTCTTTTGCCCTGTCATTGACTTTGAAACTCTTGATCACATGAAAACGTGATGTGCTGCAGTCATGAAAAATGAACTAAGAAATAAAATAGCTCACATATTGCAGCTAAAGAAAACTAATGACAAACAGAGAAACATGTATTTCTGTTGTCCTTGTTTGATGTCTGGTTGATGTACTGTACTTGCCTATTTTATATTTTACCCCCAACAACTTTCAACAATGACAACGTTGAGTAGCGTAGCTGCCTTAATTTTCACATCACATACGCTTTATGGAGAAGAAGATTAAAGGCGCATTCAGGCAAAAATGAAAAACGTGACCATTGCTTCCTCTGTTGTGAACATACATATATGCCTCTTACAGTGGTGCCTTAATAGTCACTAGAACAACATTAGCTGGTTTAAAGGCTAAGAAAACCCACTTCTGATGATGTATCTTGAAAAACTACAAGGGCTTTGGGGTCGATATCTGAATGGATACTGCAGAAAGAAGCTTACTACTGCTAGGATGCTGTATTTATTAGTCACTACATCAGTGGCTACGCGAGTAGGCAATAATTCTTAATGGGATGTATGGGATGTGTTAATTCTGCCAAAATGATGAGGTTGAGGGATCTAATGCTGCGCTACAGAATATTACATACCATGACAAATAACATTAAATGCTAGTTTTAGGCCAGAATGCCCCTTTGAACAGTCATACTGCAAAATACGCCATGCTATTGTATGGCACAAGAACAAATACATGACTGAATTCTCTGTGTTCACAATTTTGCATTCACTTTAGAAAACTATTAAACATATCAGTTGACATTGGCCATTATAACGTTAAGAACTGTAAACATGTTCAAAAGGGATAAACACAGGCAATAAAAGACAGGCACAATGTGATGAAGGAAGCCAATTAAAAACAGTACGAGAATCCTGTTGTCCAGCAGATGGAGCCAGAGTCATACTTGAATGTGTTATTGTAGCATTAGCAATTTTGGGCATGTCCTCCTGTTTTTTAAAGCTTACATAGGACCATGTAGCTCAAATTTCTGGTCAAAATTTTGTTAAGCAGGGTAAAATTTGCCCAAGGCTAGCCACAGATCTCCTAAACAGTTCACTATTTGTCCAGCTCCCAAATCACCTGAGCATAATTAGCATTCTAAAGTAAACTGGATGCAGCTTCGTAAGGCCTTATACCTCACCTTCCAGTTGTCTGTTTCTCCTAATCTGATCTTATAATGTAATCAAGATAAAGACAAAAAAACTTTAAAATGATAGCAGTCTCATTATTTGGTCTCCATTGCACTGGGTAGTCTTAAAGGGGCATTCTGGCTAAAATAAAAATAATGTAACTCACCCCTTTAATAATGGTCCTTTTTCAGCAGGGACCTCCTACAGCGGTGCCACAATAGTCACTAGAACAGTGCCTTTTGGTTTAAAGGCTAGGAAAATCACTTTCTGATGATGTATCTGTAATGCTGATTTTGTTTTGTTTTGTAAAGCTGCTTTGTGACAACACCTGTTGTAAAAAGCGCTATATAAATAAACTTTGCTTGCTTGCTTGTATCTTGAAGGTGGAGGAAGTTTCGGAAAACTACAAGCACACTGGGCGAATGCAGAAGAAAGCCTGATAGCTAACTTTACTGCTAGGAAGCCAAATATCACATCTGTATTATAAAGCCTCTGTATCAACGGTACAAAAACAAATTTCGTCGCTGTGGGGGAGATTCCCAACGGTTGTATGATATCGTATGACATTTGTATAATGCATGCTGGGAATTGTAGTGAGACACCACTTACAAGTAAAAAAATGGTCTAAAATCCTGAATTTTTTCAAACCAATGAGGCTGAGGGATGGAATGATGTGCTAGAGAATATTACATAGCCTGACAAATAACATATTACATGCTAGTTGTAGACCAGAAAGCCCCTTTAATCCAAGTCCAGACAACTGAGTTAGCCCAGAGAGACGTTGCTTTCCTGAGCACTCTCAAAAATAACGTTCATTTTTGTGATCACTGCTTTAACACATTTTATGTCAGACCACCAAGTCACAGCATATCACAAATACACAGACAGTGTAATCTGAACACATTTTTGTGGCAGGCCATTATAGCCCTTTATGAGAATCTACAACTAGACAGTGAAGTATTATCAGCTTTGGACAAGAGCAGGACTGAATACAGCTGCATACAGCTATACAGCCCCAAGTCACGAGACTGTAGGAGACAATGGAAGCAGAAGGGAAACAGAAAGCATTGTAAGCTATAAGTGACAGCACCTATAGCTTTAGCTCTTAACATAACCAGCTGACCTGAAAATGGGTTACTTATAGTTTGTAACAGAATGAATCAGCGCAAATAACAAATAGGTTTGGAAAGCCTCGCTGCATTAAATAGAGCTGCTCAAACCAGTCCACTGAGGGCCTCAGTGTACAAATAAACTAAATGTCCAAAACTATCTGGAAACTGCTTTAATTAGTGCATTCAGCTACTTTAAGGTGCTGCTGACACAGGCGTTCAAGTGTACACAGTTTGTATAATCTCCATAGAAAAGCATTGCCAATAAAATGGGACACACTGGAGCAGCTGCCATGAGCCTAAGGTCACCACACCTAATACAAAGCATCAGCTACAAGGGTATAAAGCCCCCCAGCAATGGACTGTACAGCAGTAAACTGTGTTCTCTCGAGTGATAGAGCTCCATCAAATATCTCTGGGATGAGCTGGAGTGGAGTTTGTGATCCAGAAGTAATGATCTACATCAGTACCTGACCTCACCAATGCTCTTGTAGCTGAATGCAATCAAATCCTCACAAAACTGTTCCAATCTTTAGTGTAAAGCCTTCCCAAAGGAGTAGTTGCTGTTACCGCAGCAATTGAGGGCCAAACTCCCTGTTGAAACCCTTGATTCCAGAGGAAACTTTAAATGAGCAGGTGTCGAACAAACTTCTGGACCTGTAGTGTATTTCTTTCATACCTCCATTCCATTCTATTCAAATTGCAATTACTTGTCAAATTAATACTTTTTACATACACAGAACTGTGCAAAGTCAAAAACCACCTTTCTGTTTAATTTCCAGTCCAAAGTGCACGTTGTTCATTTTTCAGTGTCAGAAAAAAGCATGAAACATATTTGACAGAAAATTATACAGAAGCCGGCAACACCAAGTATAATATCAACTCTGTCAGCGTTTAATTTGTCCACTTGGACTGTGAGAAGCAGAAAATGCAACCAACTTATAAGACTGAACTTTGGAGGTGTGGAAAAATATCCCTGCAGATTTCTTTGGAAAACTGAAATCAGGTTTTCTGAAAAGAGTAGAAGCTGTAATAAAGAGTGAGCACACTAAATTGATTTTAAAAAGATATAATTGTTATTTTTACTTTTATTTTAAAAATGTGTCCCACTTCCCCCCAGACACTGAAAAAGGACTAACTTGCTCTTATTGGCCAATTTGACAGGGAATTAAATAAATGAAGGGTGATCTGACTTTTACATAGTATGGTAGATTTAAATAATAAACTAGATTTAAAAGTTACTTTTACATGTTCAATATTTCAAATTTTAGGGGAACAAGCTAATAAATAATATACTGTAATTATGCATTTGTTTTGACAACTTACTCAAAATTTGATTGCCACTTAAATATGATGCATTCTGGATATTAATTTTCTCATAACTTCATAACAGTAACTTCATTTTAAAATAATCTACAGCACTGTTCATCATTCTGGATGCACGTAAACATGTTAAACTTGCTACTAAGTATTTGAAACGTATGAAGTGTAGGACTAGCACACATGCAAAGAACTTGTAAAATAAGGTGTTGGTGTGCTTGGTGTGAAAAACAGCTGCAGACATTGTGGCCCTCAATGGAACGCATTACATAACTCTGCGCAGGCTGCTGTTTTTCCCCCCTATCAGAAGTTCAGCAGTCATTTCATTCATGACCATGAGAAGGTTTTGTTGAGACAGCAGTTTGCTTTGGCTTTCCAGCTTTCACATAATTCAAACTGTGTGTTGAAGTGATGGTGAACATTTCTACAAACTGACACTAAGTGCATCTCTGTACGTTCTCCAAGAAGGTAAACAATGGAGGGATAATGGAGTGCAGGTGTTTCTCCCCCACAGTCTTTGCTCAGTCTCCACAATTCCCTCACAGGGTCAGAATCAGAAGACTGGGTTTTGGAATCTCCACTGCAAAAAACCTTAAAACAATAAACCAATGACCAAATTCCGGAATACTCTGTTCTGCTTATAATAGAAGCCAATGGTCCGGTGCTGACGGTGGGTCTAAGTTTATCGGTTTTCGGTTCTGTTCTATATTCGGAGGAAAATTCAGCTAAGGTTCCTGTCTATAGTAAACGGCCTTATCATACAAATGTGGCAGATAGAGATTAGGCTGAACAATGTAGGAGTATTCCCTTTAAACTCCAATATTTGCAACTTGCTGGCCAATTTTTGAGGCTTTTAAGTAATAGCAAAGTTAGGAAACGTATAAAACAGTAAACAAATACATACAGAATGAGTCAGAAAACCCAGAGCAGGTCCTGTTACAGCCATGGCCATCCCTGACAAAGACTATATGTTTTGCATATATTTAACACAAAATTACATAACAGCCCCCAACACCAAGTATAATATCAAATATATTAGTACTTATTTTAGCCACTCTTTACTTCTGCAACCTACTACCACATTTACTTTCTTATCCTTCCTATTTTAAAAGAACGTAGACAAAAGAAGACAATTTGCAACACCAAAACTGGACATCAGAGATATGGAGTAAGGTTTCATTAACTGATAAATCTGTAATTGGGATTACGTGGATCAAGAGAAGCACGAAAATGCCACCAACTTCTAAGACTGAACTTTGAAGATGTGAAAAAATATCGCTGTAGATTTCTCCCAAAAATAATGGAAGCTATACTAAAGGCAAAAGGTGGATGCACTAAATACTGATAAATAAAATATTATACTTAGTGTTGGAGGCTTTTGTGTAGCTTCCTGTTAAATGTTTCCTGCTTTTGTCCCCCCGACACTGAAAAATGAATAACTAGTGCTTAATGATTTAACAAGAAATGAATTAAATGAAAGGGATGGTGTGTGACTTCTGACAGTACTGTACAATAATAAATTATATAATGTAGACTTGAATTATAAACTTGACACCAAAATGTATTTTAGATATTTCAGATTTAGAGGCTTTCAAAAAATAGCAATTAGGTTTACAAAAAAAATGAAAAATTAGTACACATAATCTACAGATAAAGTTTCTGCACATTTTAATGCACAATTACTGTTTAGCAATTTAACATACTGGGAAAATTATAAAACATTTTCTCCAATATGTTAAACTCAGCAAATATACAGAAATTATGCAATAAAATTAGCAGAAACATTACACATTTTAACTTTAACTTAAGTGTGTTCTCTGTAGAGGATGTGTTAACCTATATTCACTAAGAAAATCAACAAAACTTGTAATTTTACTGGAAGTGTTCAAACTTTTGCATACGAATATGAATAAAGAATGAAAACCTAGAGCAGGTGCTGTTGCAGCCATGGTTGTGAAAAATCATGAAAAGATCATTACGTTACTAGCACTAATACTGCAGGAATGCTGAGCTGACTACAAGTTCTAGAGCTGTACAGTTGACCGCCACTGAGAGTCATTACATCCACTTGAAAGCAAAATATCAATTAATAGCTTGTATGTATTTCAGATTTCATAGTAACCATTAATCTGAACGTCATCTGTGTCAAACCTTAGTTCAGGACCAATGGATCTGACAACAGGCTCCACCCCACCCCCAACCCAGTGCATTCACATTACTGGCCCTACCAGGATGTCTGAAAGTGATCATAGAGAACATTTCATCATAAATATTTAATGAGGTCAGGCAGGCAGGGCTGGGAAGAGAACCTTCATTCAGATTCAATGACCAGTACGTAAATCATGAATGTAGAGAGGTGGCTACCTCCAATGTCATTTGACGGTACTAGTTCCATAGTGTTCCTGAAAAACAAACAAACAAAAACAAACAGAAAACATTGCTGAGTTCCTCTACATCTTTGGTCAGAGGAATGTGGACGGTCCTGGAACCATCTCTCCGTGGTCTGAAGGCGAACAACAAACAACAACAATGATGATGATGATGCGGCGCCCTTAAAAGGAGCCGAGCTGAGGGCAAGCAGACTTTACAAAAAGTTTGTTGGCAACCGTTTGCTTAAAAACTATAAATTTCGCTCGCTTGACTTCTCTTTTCCTCTCCGCACCGCAGTCGTTCAGAGGATTGTCCCTTCTGTGGTTGTTCTGTGGTTTGACTTGCTGTGCTTCTCGAAATTACAGATCCTCCTGCTCCCAAACAGGGCCAGAGAGATGGAGGAGGGGTTTCGGATGGGGTTTCACAAATAAAAAGACACTTTACGAATCAGAAAACTACAAAGTGTTGTCCAGTCTTTGTGTGGCCCATCCCCCTGCTCCCCCGTGATGTGACAGTTGGCTTCCCGAGGGGCCAAAGCCCGTTAAGACACGCCATCACCATCCACGATCCACAGGGTCATCAGTTCTCAACCCCGAGAGCAGGTGACTCACACATGTGCTCAGTTCGTTTCTACTTTGGCTTCTTGTTTGTCCTGTAAGAGCGGAATGAGGGACTCCCACGCTGCAAGGCACTGCAGGACAGAAGAAGCAGAAGGAGCTGTTAACATCTGACTTTTCAATCCCCAAAGCAAGTCAAACATTTTTCATAAGGAAGTGCATTTGAGGTCAGAGGACCTTTTCACTTCTTTCAAACTGCCTAGACATGTGAATGTTCTGGACACGCCTTTGGAACAGGAGGGGTACAATTGTTAAACCAATAGTTTGGCCAAAAATCAAATTTACAGAATTTTTCCATTACAAATGTAGTCAAATCAGCCAAGATGGGTTTGGTTCTTTAGTTTTGACTTGAGAAATTCACATGTAAAACAACATTCAGCATATTGACTGATAGTTGAGGATCAGGTTTTGGTATCAAAAGGGAAAAGTGGTATCAGTGCATCTCTCCTTAATAATTAAGATTAAAACTCAGAAGACACGTGTAGGTTCACTGGTGGTTTTGAACAGTAAATAAAATGGCTTTATTTGTGTAGACAGGAAAGTTTCTCTACAATGAACTATTTCATCAAACCACTCTGAATTACTTTGTTTATAATGATTAAATTACAAAGAAATTTTGAGAAAATAGTGGAGATCCTCTTTAAAGGGGTGATCCGGCTTAAAATTAGGGTTTAATATGTTACTTGTCATGTTGTGCAGTACTCAGCAACAATTTTTTTTAACCTTTCATCCAGTGAAAAGAAGCCAAACTGAGGTAAAGTATCTTGATAGCCAGCTATCTTGCCAACTGTAGCTTTTAGCTGGTTCAGCTATTTCTCTTATTTCAACGATGCGCTCTCTCTGTTTTAATTATCATATATAGACAGAAACTACAGTTATAAATCTGAAGGTTGTCACATTAAAATAAGTTTTTCAAAGGTTCCTCCCACCTTCAAGATACATCATCGGAAGTGGGTTTTCTTAGTTTTTAAACACGAAAATCTCGCTCTGACTACTGGAGCACTGCTTTGGGATGCAAGTAAGCATGTTTACAACTGCCATAGCGATGGTTACACTTTTAAATTTTGCTGGGAGTGTCCCTTTATGTCCAAACACATTCATCACATGATCAAAAGCATTGGTATTTTTGCATATTCAGATACAAGTAAACATTTTAAACTTGACATTGTAATAAAAAACAGCAAAGAGCTGCAACAATCCATCTGTGGACTCTTTTGCTGCATAAACTAAAACCAGATTCAGCCTTTCAGCTCTGTTCTATGGACTCTTCCCCTTTTGGCCTTGGCTTCTGGAATTTTGCAGAGCTGTGTCAGTATTTGGCACAGCTGATGAGCTAAAAGGTGAAAGAATTCCACTGCTAGTTCCACTCACCACAGCCGGAGCTATTTCAAGGCTACAGTCAGTCTAGGACTGCTCTCAAGCCATTGTGTATTCAAATGTGATGGATTATGTTTTGTAGCGTTTTATGTTTTAGCACAGCAACTGAACTGACAACATGTATCTCAACAATAGTATCTCCATCTTTGTCATGCAATGATTTGGATCTTTTAATTCTGAAATCATTAAGGAGTAAGCTTCCGACGTCAACATACTCCTTTTACAGATGTAACAGAAGAATGACAAGAAAAACGTTCCATCGCTTTGTAAACAAAAGAGGTTTTAAATAAGAGTTTGATGTAGTGTATAAACACATGTTTATATGATGTATATAAACATCCAGCCTGTTTTTGGATTGAAGCACAATACAGAGCATCCAATCAGAGCAGAGATCATTTACATACATCAGTGTTATAGGCACTGCATCTGTTTCGTATTTACAGGAAAAAAAAATGGACTTGCGCCGTTTCAACCCTTTCACGTTAACCTAGCCTTCCTCCCTCACCTTCTCATAGTACTGGATGTTTTTGTCTGCCATGCCGGTCAGCAGCTGTCTGAAGTCCTGCCGTTTGTTGTTCTGCCAGCGGTCCCAGTCGGCCTTCAGGTCAGCGTTGAAGCACTCCGCCCGGTCCTGGCACTTCTCCACGTCTGTGGGCATCTGCAAGAGGGATGAACAGAGGAAGATTAGAATGGCCCACATACTACCAGTAACTCTGCCCTGCATTAACCCCTTGATCCTGGCAATGACCAAACAGCAAATACTAGCAAACTGTAAACCATTCACAACTCAGGCAGCAAAAGGAGCCTAAGAAGTTCTAAAATGTCCTAAAAAGCAGTGGTCAGTTGAGCGAGATATTACTTTTCAGTACGTGCAGAGGGGGCTGCAGCACCCCCAGATTTCAGGACTGCAACTACAAAAACAATTATAATACAGGGATCTGAGCTTTTTAATGATTTGAGCATCATAAAGACCCATGTGTGCTTGTAAAACATAGAAGTTCTTTTAAATGAACCGTTATATCTCCCGCTTAGGGTGCTTTCCAGCGTTAAATCTCACCGCGTGCCTGTGGATGTGACTTGTTACTTTACCACATATCAATAATCTGATCAGTTGCCACTTAGTTCATTTGCCTAAAGTTTATCCAGAATGAGACAGCAAAGAGAGGATGTGCATCAGCAGTCTGACGTGTCAGTTATATCTATGTATTGTCTCGCTCATTATAGTGCAGTATGACACATTCTGTTTGATGTAAATTATCAAAAAAATCAAATGAAAAAAATGCAGATAATTGTGCATTACATCACTGTTCACGTCACATATATGCTGCTTAAAATTTCAGCTCCCTAAACTTAAAACATCTTCCCATGTCCCTGAATGTGTGTTTCTAAGTAGATGTATGTAAACTTGTAATAGACTATGTAATTACATTTTAACAATAATGTAACATGACAAATGTAAAGCAAATTGACAACTATATACACTGTTTTTAAATCTTACTGGAGTCTTCTTGTCCTCACGGAATGCTACAGCCTCCAGCTTGGCCTCGTACTCCGCCTGGACTTGGTCCCTCTTCTTCAAAACATTCTGTAAACAGAGAGCAGCAGCATGACTCAAGCATCGTACATTAGTTCCGTGAACATCCTGCCAAGCATCCATCATTAAAATGCTACACAAATTCTGTTTTAATAATCTAAAGGCCATTATTTTTTGCCTTATTTAAAATCCCACTCACGGTTGGCTTTCTGAAATGAGTTCACGGCTCAGTGTTTAGCGTAATTGCACTCGCATAAAGAGTCGGCTTCAATATGGAAGCTATTTAAACAGCTTCTCGCCTTGTCCCATAAATCCAGGCCTGTAGACTCCCACTGAACTGTCTGCTGAGGCATTCCGGGTGGAAGAATGATGGCCCCCCGCGATTGGAAAAATTAACAACATCCAGTCAGCAACAGAGAAATGCTGAGGCACCCAATCTGTTCTCATTACAGCCCCACGGAAAAGACTGCCGTCAACACAAAGATAAGAGCACTCCAAACCCAAGCTGAGAAGTGATGTGTTTTTAGTCTCAACCTAAAATGAAAACAAAAAAAAAAATGCTGCAACTGTCCATTTTAGCACTGCAGTAAGGTTTTCAAACAATGACATCTCTACAATGCAATTATGCCAGAGGGGAACCCTCAGGGCCTTCTGTGAAGGCCTTATGATTTCTGGGAGAAAAAAAAAAAAAACTTTAATTTTGAGCTCTTTTTAAATTCAACAGTATCAAGCCTGTAGTTAAACTTTCATGTATTACAGTACTGCTCTTGTTCCATTTATATCAGAGACTGTTTTTCCTCCATGATACAGAAAATCTCCCTCGCCAATTGATTAGGACTTCAGGAGCTGAAGAGAAATCCTAATGCATTAGATTACCAACAACATAAAGTGACAGAGGACTCAACCAAACATGTTTTCATTTTCAATAGATCACTCTAGGCCTTCTGGAAGTCCTAGAAACAGCCTAATCATTGCATTGTTAGAAATGGAAAACAGTGGCGACAGCTCTATACCAGAAATCACTACTAAAAGAGGCACTGTGAAACTGTTACAAGTATATGTTAATATGTCTGTCACAAATTTCAATGACAAGTACAACATGTAGAAGCTTCAAATGTAGCGCAAAAAAAAGGTTTATGTAAATCCATGTTAGCACTAACAGACTACTAGAATCCCACAGGGGTGCTAGCAGTGAGCATTATCGCAAAAGTGAGTATTTTCCTCATGTTTTAATCAAGTTTTGACATTTAGCCTGAACTGGAGGCCTAGCTTTAACAGTTATTGAATTACACAGCATCCACTAAAAACCCATAACTGCATCTAATAAGGCCCAAGTCTTTTCCATACTGTTTAGCATCCAGCATGGTTATGAGATTATTACTGTAGCAAGTCAAACAGACTGCAGAAGTGATGACCACTGGTAAGATTCTATCTGGATAACAATGTCTGTTTACATTTTATTAGTTAATCTTCATAAGGTGATTATGTTAATTGAGTTTCTCTCCAAGTAGAGAGGCTCAATAAAAAAGGCTTCACAGTGCATATTAAAATGTTGTAACTGCACATAAAACATTGTTTAATGGATAAAGACAGGAACAGGATGTGTAGCTTGTGAAATCGGAATGAGAGAGAGATTTTCTGTACTGTTTTGAAGTACTCTGTGCTCTCTCTCTCTCGCGCTCTCTCACTCTCTCTCTCTCAGAGCTGTCAAGTAAAGGCAAGAGGAGGAAACATCAACTGCTGAGGTCCTCAATTTTTGAGCTTAAGATAGAGAAACGAGAGAGAGCAAAACAGAGAAGAAATAGGAAAAATAGGGCTAGCTCTAACATTTTAAAGGCTTTGAATACTCGTTGATATTTCTGAAGTACTTAAATACTCATTCTCAAATTCACCCCTAAAAAGCAATAATATTTGCAGTGTTTTCAGCTATTCTGTCTGATGGAAAACATACGATTAGATTTTGACTAAATGTTTAAGTCACAATGGCTGTGCTAGATACGTGTCTTTCAAGCTTATTTTACTTTGACGTGTGCGCTAATGAGACCCATAGAGATCCAGTCAAATCACTACCTTCCACTTTATATAGTGTTGCAAACTATATTTAAAATAGTAGTAAGCTAGAATGTGATTATATTTTTGGTGTAGTAGCTGCAAAGCAATTGCTCTGTTGAGGAAGCATCTCTGACACAGCAGTTAAAAACGGTCATGGTGATTCTGTCGCAATAAACAGATCTGTTTGTCATCAAGTTTTAAACCTGCTGTATAAGAGTAGAATTTGAGGCGGTGTAAACTGAATGTATTGGTGATCTCTACTTACAAATTTGAGATGACTCTACAAACTACAAGACTCTATAAACCAGCATCTTATCACAAAATTTCTCTCAATCAAATAATTTAAATGTACATAATTTAAAGCGCTTCCCCACATGGTTTCTTTCAGAGGCTAATTATTGTTCTTTTCAAAAGCTTTAGCTGACAACACTTATCTGTGGATTAAAAGAAGAAGCCTCAAAAATACTAAATATTAAAGTAATGAACAAATAAGAAAGAAAGAAAGAAAGAAAGAAAGATGCATGAAGTAGAGAGAGAAAAAAAAAATCAGGAAAGAGAAAGCGGGTGTGTGTGAGAGAAAGAAAGAAAAATCAAGGTAAAGAAAAAAGAAAGAAAGAAAAAAGAGCATGAGAGAAACAGCAGAAGAAAGAAAATCAAGACAAAAAGAGAGGTTAAGAAAGAGTTAGAGAGAGCCAGAGTGCAAGAAAGAAGGAAAAAAAAAATCAAGATAAAGAGACAAAGAGAGAAAGAGAGAGAGCCTGCAAGACAGATAGAGAAACCCAGTTAGAGTAAGACAGATGGAGGGAAAGAGTGAGAGAGAGAGAGAGAAAGACAAAGAGAGAGACACACATGCAAAGAGAGAGACAGAAAGAGAGAGAGAGACAGAAAGAAAGAGAGAGAGAGACAGAGAGAGAGAGAGAGAGAGAGAGAGAGAGACAGAGAGAGAGAGAGAGAGAGAGAGAGAGAGACTCTAGCAGGTTAAAGGGCAGAGGCTGTGTAGAAGCATCAGCACTCTGACAGGCTTTATCTACACACAGCAATGCCATGATCAGACACATGACAGGAGGAAAAGCTCTCCAGCTTTTACAACTCACTTATGTGCTCAGCCAGGACAGTGAGAGTGCAGACAGGGTGACTGTGGCACTAAAAACACTTACTAATACAGGACTAAAACTTGATGATGAAGATGGTATACAAAATCTGAAAGACTGTCTAGCTGGAACAATCTTTTTTTAAACTGCCATGAATTTGGTACGTTTTTTCCACACCACAACCCTAAAAAACTAACCATTTTGCAACAAATGCTATAATCTATGAGGCTCCCATGATATTTTGATTGGTTTTACAAGGACAGCTGCCCTAGCCCCACCACAATGCTAACCAATCTCACTGGCTGACTCTCAAAGGCCCCCTACTTCCTGTGCAGTGTGCTGCACAAGTCAGGAAACTAGTGCTCTAGATGTTAGATAGGGAGTCATGGATCTAATGACTGAAAATACACTATATGGCTAAATGTCTGTGGCCACCTCTTCTCATTAGTGAATACAGCTGCATCAAGATACACCCACTGCTGACACAAGAGTTCAAAAGCTGGTATAATATCCACAGAAGAGCACTGCCAATAGAATGGGACATGCTTGAGCAGCCGCATGAGCCAGAGGTCACCATGCAGAGTGCTAAGCATTGGCTAGAGGGGTATAAAGCCCCCCAACACTGGGCATTGAGCAGTGGAACTGCATTCTCTGGAATGATGGAGCTCCATCCAATACCTTTAAGAGGAATTGGAGCAGCATTTGTGATCCAGAACTAATTATCCAACATCAGTAGCCAAGCTCACTAATGCTCTTATGGCTGAATGCAATCAAATCCTCACAGCAATGTTCCAACATGTAGTTTTAAGCCCTCCCAGAGGTGTAGAGACAGTTACTGCAGCAGAAATGGAACAAACCTTTGGACATGCAGGGCAAATTAAATGTAATAAAGGCTGTTATTTCATGACCTACATAGTGCACTGCATAGGGAGTAGGTGGCCATTTGAGATTCAGCCATTAAGCGAAAAAACAGAAACAAAATTAAGTCCCGCCTTCTCCCTCAGAGAGCAGCACACAGTTTACCTTCATGGACTCGATGTAGAGGATGTACTCTCGTAGCACAGGCAGGAAGTCCTCGCTCATGTCCTCTGTCAGTTCCTCCAGAGCGCTGCTGCAGTTAGCCACACAGCCCGCCACTCCGTCCAGCGGCTCCTGAAGCGCCTCCTCTGAGGAGGCCCAGGAGGAGTAAACCGGGCCGTACTCCCTCAGCTCCACCAGGTACTCTGAGGAAAAACATACAGAGGAGGGACATTGCTTAAAGGTTTTTGTAGCTAAAACGAGCATAATTAACTTTTACATAACCATTTCCCAACATCTCATTCTTCCCCTTGGAATAAACAGACTGTGCCTTTAAGACTGATTTGTAAATGACCTCTGTTCTGATTGGCTGCCCTGCTGTATGCCTTGTTCAAAAAGTAATACATTGCATCATTGAACTGGACGTTTTAACTGCTTTAGGTAGAACAGATACCCATATATTTCCATATATGGGCTGTATGGACTAAAAAGTGAAAGATATGTTCTGAAACTTTAACAGTGTTTGAATAGTTCACCAAAAAAATCATCAAAAATGTAAAATTCAACATTATTCTCTGCTATATTGCTGTAAAAGAATAAAGGGCCCATATTCTATATTTCTCTTGCATTTTATTTTCCCTTGAGGTCAATTTCTGACAACATTTGTGTGGGTTTATGTACCAAAAACAGCCATAATTTACTTTTATCTGACCATTTTAACCCCTCTGTATCTGGCTTTGTTAATGTGTCTTTAACTATATGTAAATTACCTCTGTTTTGATTGGCTGCCCTGTATTGTGCCTCATTCAAAAAGCAGTCCAGACTGAAACACTCTGGCTTGCATGGAAAGGTGGGGCTACATCAAACTCTTATGCCATTAAAAGCTACAGAAATTAGGTTTTTGACACTAAAGTTATTTCAGCATGGAGTGCTTTTTAAATGAAGCGCAATACATGGCTGCCAATCAGAACAGAGCAATTTTGCATCCATTAGTCTTAAAGGCACAGTAACAAAACCAGTCTGTTTAATTGCATGGGATAAAGAGAGTTTGGAAAACGACAACGGGACATGAACCCACACAAACATCATACGTGGCCTTTTGGGGGGAAAACAATACAAAAAAAGGGCACAACACAATAGCTGCCATCAGGCCTTACCTGACTGCTCTTTGATGATCCTCTGTGCTATCCTGTCGATGGTGCCCAGCTTCTGTGTGAATACATCCAGATAGTCACCCATGGCCGCAAACTCCACCGGCCGCACTCTCAACTTGTAGCCGCCTGTCACGTATTTCACAGACTCTCCCATCTTAGACAGCAGAGCCAGGCCTTGCCTCTTATTTAGATCCTACACAAAACACACACACACATGAGACTCCTTTCCACAAAAGACTAAAGGCCTCATTCACCAACCGTTCTTAAGAAGACGTTTCTTCCTAAAATCCACTTACGCAGTTTTTACAAAGATTCTGACATCCACCAGTGTTTCCTTATTTGGGATTTGTTCTTAGGTAAGAACAGAATCCACACACACTCAAGAGCACAAAGGTGCTAACGATTCTGCAGTTTAGGAACACAAAATGAATCTGACATACTTTTTTTTGGAACTTTCCTCAAGAACAAATTTAAGAAAAAACTTAGGAAGACATTGGTGAATGAGGCCCATTGAGACAAAACCCCTGTAGTGGTGCTGGAACCTGCTTTCAGAGCTTGGAGGCACTGTATGAAACCTCTGCAGAAGGCAATATTTCACAGCACTGCAACATTAGTCTTATTAATAACCGCTGTTGGCCATCTTCAGAAAGTTCCTATAAGAGTAATTACACCTGACTTTCTTGTCACACAGTCGATAATGAAAAGCTATTAGTGGGTTTGATAAACTACACTAGTGGCCTTTGCATTCCTGACAAAGGCCGCAGCACAGTGAGAAAATTCAGCAACTACGAACGGCCGCAGACTTGAAATTGACAAAAGCAGCTCTGTGACTTATCCACAGAGGATCCCTAGAAAAAGGGACAATAGTATAGTAACCAGCACTATACTATTAAAAAAATTAAAATGTGTCAAAACTTACACAGAAAGAAAGTTTTTGGCTGTCAAAGTACTGTAAAATTTGTCAATACTAATTTGAAAATAGTGATAAATGATGTCACAACACAATACGCTTTTCTGAACATATTGTGTGCTTGTACAACACTGACCAACCACGTTTCATAATAAAGAGAGCAAAATTTGTCCAGTTTAACTGGATATAGTGCAACAAAGTATGCCAAAACTGAATAAAAATCATTGTAATGACAGATTTGTATTTTTTTTTTATGTAACACTAGTTGTTCTATTTTCTCTGTTCTAACCAATCAGATGTTTGAAAAAAATAAGTAACATGACATATTGTGCATTGTGAAAATCAAAGTTTTGCAGTATGTTTTTGCCATTTCACCCACATTTAGACTGTAATTTTACAAATTTTCACCATCATCACAAAAACATTTACAATACAATACTTTTTCTTTTTCTACGGTGTAGGACAACATTTCATTGGAGATGGCACCAAAACCAATACCAGGTTATTGAGGAAAATGTTTTATATCGGAAGGAAAAAAGGATGAATATGTTCTATTCCTGTATCTATGCTATCCTGCAATATTCACAATGCGAGATGTGATGTGACGTGATGCTCTTCCTGTGGGGTTAGTAAAGGGGTTAGTAGTTTGAACACACTAGTGCTCAAGTATAGAGCCTGATTTTTTTATTATTTTTTTACTCATGAAACTTTTTTCCACTTATTTTCTTTTGACTTTCTCTTTTTACACACATGGATCAACTTACATCAAATCTCCTCTGAAATATCTTAAAATTAAAAACGTGTATCTAATTGCGTTTTTGACTGGAATTTTACACAGTACTGTCTGTGAAGGCAGAATGGATCGGTATCAGTGATTTTCATACCGGTTGGAAAATGCTAACTGAGCAACTAAACATCTCTATGAACAAACATATCAATGACATGCCACTGATTAGTTATTTAATCAAATATGTGACCAACATATACTTAAGGTCAAGACAACCTTGCCCTACCATGGAATATTACTGTAGTCTCATTCCTAGAAGAACTTTAATCAAGGACACAAGCACAGTTATGTTGGAAGAAGGTCATGCAGCTCACTAATACCGAGTCAGCAATGCTTGATATATGTGCTAGCATTCAAACCAGCAACCTTCTGGTTCCCTGTATGAAGACACTAGAATTCTAGGGGCATTGCAGCCTGAAACTCGCATTTAATATCATATTTGTTATGTTATGTAATATTCAGAAGTGCAGAACTGTATTTCTCAGCCTCATCAGTCTGACAGAATTAATTATTCAGAGACCGTTTTGAGTTTTCGTTTATCAATGATTTCTTACTACAGTACCCAGCACGCATTACATAAATATGTTATACAACTATCCGCCTCACTGTGATAAAGAAATCCTGACTGCTAGCATAGCTACTGATATACTGGCTAATAAATATAGATGTGATATTCAGCTTGCTAGCAGTACCATTAGCCAGCAAATGAGGACCAAAACATTCCAAACAGCCCACCCTCAAGTGTCCACCCCAAAGCAGTTGTACCCCCCCACACCACCTTCAAGATACATAAACAAATGTGGGCCTTTGTGGTCTTTAAACCAGAAAATCTCACCGTAGAGTCTATTGTAGCACCAGTAGGCATTTTCCAACAGATGTTGAGTCATAGTAAAGTTTTCATTCAGGCCAGATTGTCCCTTTACAAGCCCAACAGTCAGGAATAAAGGGGTAAAATACTGGTCACTGGCATCATTACATGTTCTTCCTGGCTCAAGGTGATCTGATAGACACACATGTGCACTGACCTTGGCTGACAGGAAGACATTGAAATGCTCATTGAAAGAAAGAACAGGGTGGTCCGCAACCCGCTTCAGGAATTTATCCAGCGCTTTCCTTCTCGTCTCAACAAACTCCTCTGAAAAACGGTCCACCACTCCTTTCATCACAAACTTTTCAGGCAAGGGCTTTGGAGAAAGAAGAAAGAAGAAAGAACGACAGCAAAAAGAAAAGACATTTAGAGAAAACCCATGTTCTTTTCGAGTTGCAGATAACACAAAAACTCCACTACTTGTTTCATTATCATATAGGTTTCATAATTAATACTATTAATATAACATAAGTTAATATAATATAAGTTCATAAACAGGGAATACGATCATTAAGTGCGTCATATCAGCGCAAAGTAGGACAATGGCTGATAAAATTTGGTCAGAAATGCAATTCAGCTAGTCCTGTGATACGCAGTAAACTTATGACCACTTGATTACAGAGGAATTCCTCTGATATTTAAAAATTTCTGCATAATTAGATGAAAGCTCTGTCCTAGAGAAACTTACTCACAATTACTCAGCCAGGATTGTTCACAGTGGATAGGAACCATATGAAGCATTTTATGCCTCTAAAAGCTACATCAAAGAAAGTTAATATGAATACGCTACCTGATGTTTGAAACATTGTTTTATGACAGTTTTGAAAAAACATTTCAGCAATAAACGCATTTCTTTTTAAGTGCAGATTCACCACTTTTCAGATTTCAGATTTAACACTACTGTCATCATCTATATTACATATAAACATCAGAAGACATGTGTAGATTCACTGGCTACTTCGGATACTCAATACAATGGTCACACTTGTATTTTGCACTGTAGATACTGCCACCACTGTAAAGAAATCCAAGCCAGTAAGTTTCTCTATAACAAACCATCTTACATCAAATCACTCAGAATGAACTGGTTAAAATCTCAACTGAATTATGCAGAAATGTTTGAGGATCTACCTACTGGAATAAGGTGGGTTGGCTGGCTGTCCTCTAGCTTGTTTCTCAGCCAGTCAAAATCCTGGTAGCGCCGCCTCACAGAGTACTCAGGCAGGTCAAACTCTGTTCTGGTGGTCTATGGATCAGATGGAAACATATATTTGAGTATCAGAGACCACTGACAAGAAGAAAAGTTATACACTTTTTGCTTTAATTTAAAGCCACAATCAGCACATAATCTTTGTTTACATGACACGTATAGTATATTCTAAGTATATATTCTAAGTTATTTGGACCAAACACTAGTATTGTGCTCGTGTTGCTAAATATGATTGCAAGACACCTTGTAATATTTTAAAATGCATTGGCAAATGTATCATGTGACCTGGTACAAGACTCAAAGAATCATCGAATGTTTGTTATGTTGGATTACATGAATAACTTGATCCACCACAACACTCACTTACCTAGAACTGTGATTGGTCAGGATGCTCACAGCACGCAGTGTGATTGGCTAGATGGCTCATTTACTGCTATGCAATAGCGTTATTAATAAACAATATACTGTGCAGCCCCGGCATATCCGCCACTGCTACATATAACACTTTTTAGATGACTCATTTTCTAAATAATGTCTGACTGCGAGTTTTGCTTTAGAATTGTGGCGCATTTCCTTTCTTTTAGTTGTTGTTGTTCGCTGTGTAGCCTTTAGCTTGCAGACTAGCAAACTAGCAGAATAGATTAATGAAGTTAATTTCTCTGAGACCCAGTCACACAATCATTTTCACTGTGCGAAACTTTGTCCTTAAATTAACTTTGATGAATTTTGAAACACAAATCACATCTCTGACCAATAACGCTGCTGCTCTGCTGTGTTGACCTGAACCTCAAAAATTAAGGAAATGCTAATTTAACTAAGTGTCCAAGCACTGCAACTGACCCCAACAAGTTACTCCACTGCCACGCTAGTTCTCCATACTAATGTGCTACAGAACAGTGTATGCTGTGGTGAGTATATAGTTGTCTGAGATGATTATGTTAATCTTTGTTTTTACTATTTACGGCAGGTGAGGTAGCCAGCTTGCTAATTGCTATTTTGGTTCCATTCCTAACCACAGCTCTACACAATTCCCCTCACTGCCACCAACCATGCCACTTATCTACATACATTATCTACATTTTGGTACGACTCAATGTGCAGCACTCCCATGAGAATATAATTATCTGACATAATTATGTTCACTTTTGTGTCGTTACTGCCCAGATTGCAAGCACATATCAGTCCGTGGGCTCGATAAGGTCGGCACATTGCTGAATGTATGCCACTGCTGGTCAACCCTGAGACCACCCAGATTACTGTCCTGCATGCAGGTCCTCAACTAGTTTTTAATTTCCTAAAACATTTTTAAATGCACATAGTTTTACAAAATAAAAGGGTAAGTATTATTTTTATTTTGGTAAACTAAGACATATTACAAACAACTGAGATGGAAAAAAAAAAGATTAGACCTTACAGTGAATAGAAATGTTGCTGACACTGCTAAATTAAAATTCTGTACTAATCTAAAGTAAAAAGTGTATTGGAAAAATGAAATGAAGGAAAATAAGTAAATTGGACTGCAAGCGGAAAAGAGCAAAGAAAAGTGGCCTTTCGGCTTAACTACCAGTGGACCGCCTGGAAAATGCTGAGCAAAAAGACAGTGGGCCACCAGCTTTGCTGACAGCCCTCTATTCTCCTGCTAGCCGGATGTTTATGGTTAGCGAGTTAGCTAGCTTGCTAACTGCACAAACATGGAAAGTTTTTTTGCCACCAATCTGGACCAGCAAACTGCAAAGCTTTAACAGATGGAGTAGTTTGCTAGTACTTTATTGCCTATAAACAGATTTGTCTGTCACTTTTCACCCACTTTTTTTGCCATTTTGGGGGTTTGAAAAGGGAAATGAGTCAGGTCGATTTCAGGATAACTTCTGTGCAAAGTCTGCTGCTGAAATCAACACCTTGCAGAACCAAGGGCTCATCTAATAAACTTCACTTGCTAAAGTAATGAAATGCCCTTAAGATGACATCGGGAGAAATGGTGAGTTTTTCAGCACTGAGGTCATGTTGAAAGAAGAAATCCTGACCCATTTTCTACATTTTTCTTGATTAAAAAGGGAAACAGAAAGAATGAGAAAAGCTCTGTGCTTCTTCTGTTTCTTTCCGAACTAGGTGGGCTTCCTACGAAACATTTGTGCCACACACATAATGGACCAGTTATCCATTAACCACTGTAAAACATTTCCACTAAAGCTGCAGACCACAGTCACTCAGAACAGTCAGCAAACAATCATCGGGGGAAGATAAATGTACTGCTAATCATACCAATAACCCACCGGCAGCTCTTTGTTTTCTCTTCCATAAAAATTAAACACAAAAGCAGGAAAACAAGCCTCTGTAATGGAAGTCTTTTTATAGACTAATGAATCAAAAGTGTCAAGCACAGGACCTGAATTCTCTCATTACTGACAGTGTAGTCCTTCTCTAAGGCTCAGCTCAGCTCTCATTAGTGAGCATAAGAGACTGTTTTAACTGAGAAGCTATTACCAGAGCGCGTCTTATCAGTATTATCTGGTTGCCGTGATACATCATATTACTGCTGAACCGTGAGCACTGCCTCGCTATTTTTCTCAGCCTTGGAAACGGCTGTGACTGGTGAGGTAACCCAATATCAGGCTATTTCATTTAGCACCTGCCTGTCTCAAATGCTGAAGGCTGTTTCTCTTATCCTAATGAAACCAGGAAGAAAAACAAAGAATAAAACTACATCAGTGAGCACATTACATAATTCCACCAAAAAGCACATAAACAGAAAATCAAACCTGTGAAAAAAATACACCTACTGTTGAAGGGTGAGCTAAATGGCAAAGGAAATTTGAAGACATTTTCATGATACCCAACATGCATCACAACATTTAGTGTTTAATGTTTGAGAACAATTTGAATCAGACACACTGCACCAGTAAACAATAGAGGCACATTTAAAAAGGCTATGAAAAGGAGAGATGCATAATGACTGGAATCATTAGTATCAGCAGATAATTGCTGTAAAAAAATATCAGCATTGGACACAAAACAAAACAAAAAAACAAAACAAAACAAAAAAAACTAAAAGGGTTCATATCAGCTCACTTTTCTGTAAGAATGTAAACACTGTTCAAGTTTCAAACCATACCAGCCACTGGCCCAGTCCATACAGGCCACATAAAGCTTAAACATAAGCTACACAAACAGCCCATTCTGACTTCACTGTTTTTGTGACGTTATGAAAATGAACACATTTACATATCTGCTTATTTAGCCTGCAGGAGTTTAGCCCTAAGCATTCACATTTAAGTTTTAAGAAGTATTTCAGTGTGGACTGCTTTCTGAATGAGGCACAATACAGGACAGCCAACCAGAATAGAGATCATTTACATATATCAGTCTTAAAAGCAGTAACTAAAACAGTTACAGGGGATAAACAAAAGATAGGAAAATGGTCATGTTATGACTATTTTTGGTACATAAAGATTAAAAATACATTTTAAAAAAAGTGGACTTTAAAAAAAACAAAATACAAAAAATGTAGGATATGGGACCCTTAAAAAAAACAGCAGGATTAATTAATAATCGAACAACTTGTAAAAAATAAATGAATAAAATTGGTAAAACTGTGCAGTAAATTGTTAAATCTGTGCAATAAAAAGGTCATTCAGAGTGGTTTGTGTGAAATGCTCCATTCTAGAGAAATTTATAGATTTATATCTGAGTAAAGTTTCTCTACAGTGCACCATTTCACATCAAACGTCTCTGAATGACTTTGTTCAGTCGATGGCGAAAGTGGGGGAACTGAACTCCTGATGTGGCAGAAGTTTTCGCAACGGCTCCATTGAAAACAACAGAATAGCCGGTTTGACGTCGACCACCTACCACCAGCATGTGAAAGCAGCCTTACACCTCTTTTTATAATTGTTCCAAGTCTGAATTTTATGACACATGCACAATGAATTACATCACAGTTTTTTAGGTAAAAAAGGCTCAAGCCAAAACTTCATAAGTGGATTCCAAAGCAAGCGCTGTATTCACTGACCTTAGTAGACACTCTGTAAGTGATGTATGTCTCCATGGTGGACACGTGTTTCTTTGGATCGTCCACGGTCACAAAGAGGTCACGCGTCTCTCCGTCTAGGTCATCGTCCAGCTGCAACCGGTTTAGCAGAGAGGAGGAAGATGCGGGGCTTGATGTGTCCACTGCATTGCCATTGGGCAGACTCAAGTCCTAAAGATATTAAAGAATTTTTCTAAGCATTTGGGACATCAAAAACAGTCAGAAGCGAATATAGTGACATCTTTAACAAAAATATTAGAATATAAGCTCCCTGTATTGCATTAGACTGTACAAGTATATGGTGGAACACAGTAGCAAGGGCAGTGTCTTGAGCGTCACATCATGGCTTATGCTACAGCCTTTATGACCACATAAAAAGACTATTGAGGTGGAAGAACCTAGTCAGAATGCTAAGAATATTGCAAGAGAAGAAAAAAAGGTGATGCACTGAATTTACTTGAAAAATATTAAATGTGTACGTAATTTCCACATGAAATAAATAATATGACAACACAGGTACTGCCAAAAGTGAGTAAACTGTACTGTATATATTTTACTAAGATGGAAGGTAGATGCACATTTGAATTGAGTAAATTCAGTGCTTCACTTTTTTCAGTATAGCTGATTCTCTGTAGTACGCACTTTGATTCAGTGCGATTCAGTGGGACCCCTGACTTGAAAATGCTAGAAGGTGACTTGAGCGAATGAGAGACTCACTCTGAGCATCCAGCAACTCAAGAGACTCATGAAACAGTCACAGTCTATATCCGCAGTCTGTGTATTTAAGGCATTCAGAGCCAGCATGGGTTGGGTACATTACACAGGGCATCACAGAGGGCAGTGTCACCTTGTTATTACCACTAGATCTGGAGCAAGCTGAGTACTGCAGGCTGGGGCTGTACAACATGGACGAAATACCATAGTGCAACTAGAAAAGCATATTTCCTGAAGAAAATGCAGTGACTGCGCAGTTTAAGCAGTTTCCAGGCAGTTGCTAGGGTGCTTCCAAATGGTTACTATGGTATTTCAGGCGGTCTCAAAGGTACTGAAAACCAGTTACTACGGTATCCCAGGGGGTTGCTAGAGTGTTGCTATGTGGTTGCTATGGCATCCCTGGTGGGTGATAATGTGTTGCAAGCCTGTTGCTGTAGCATCTCTGATGGTTGCTAGTTTGTTACTGTGGTATTCTAGGTGGTTGCTAGGGTGTTGCTATGTTATCCCAGGTTGTTGCTAAGGTGTCGTTAGGTATTTGCTTCGTTATTCCAGGTGGTAACTAGGATGTTGCTAGGTGGTTGATATGGCATCCTAGCTGGCTGCTAGCGTGTTGGTTGGTTGTTACTATGGAATTCCAGGTGGTTTGTAGGGTGTGGCAATGTGGTTGCTAGTGTGTTGCTATGCCACTGGGTGCAATTTCATCCATCAAGATGAGGCAGTTAAATGTAAATACAGTAATTTGCAAAATTTTGGGCACCCCTGGTCAAATTACATGTTTTGTTCATTTTCCAAATCAAAACAAGTACACATTCTCTGCAGAGAATACACTCGCTGAATTTAACATAGTGAAGAAAATGTGGCCTGTACAAAAGTTATATATTGTATATATTTTTTCGACATGTGAAATTTAGCAAATAAAGAGAAATGGTGCACTAATATTCGCATAAAAATTACCATTTTAGAGTGTTTTCTTTGTAGATGTTGTGGTAACTTGTTTCCAATGAGGAACGAAAATAAATAAATAAATAAATAAATAAATAAATAAATAAATGCTGAACAGGTTTACAACAGAATCCACAACTCCAAAATATCTTTTAGACATACAAACAGCAAGTATCCATGATCTGTGCAGGCATTAATTACAACAGGTGAAGAAAACATGCAAGTTTCTAATTTAAAAGAAACCCTTTGAGGCTTATCTTGTCTCTGGACAAAATCAAATTCCTTTCATTCCTGGATTAAGAGCAGGCCAGTGTGTGAGCTGCAGGTGCTTTATGAAGAGGTGTGTTGTGTCACAGTGAGGGGTGAAGGACACAGTACGACAAGGCTGCTCCAGGGTGCTCCGACATTCCTCCTGCTCTGAACAGCCTCTGCCAGCTCTTCTCCCAGCAGCCAGGAGGCCATCCATCAACTAGAGCCGCAGCATCTGCACCCGAAGAGTTCAACCCCTAACCACTCCCGCACCGCAAAACCACCACTCTGTCTGCAGACTGCTACTCTCCTCTCTACATGTCAGTGAACTACAACTTCCACCTAGATATAGCACAGTAACACTTTTCTTAGCTGATAAGTGATACCAAAATCTTAAATACCAGTTGACAATATCAAACTGTTTTCTAACTACCAAGCTTTAAAATGAGCTATTTTTAGTTAAAGCACTGAAGCTAGTCATCTCTGCACTGACCTACAGGAGAAAATACAGAGGCATAACTTATAGAAAACAATCAAGCCACAAACTGTTTTAGGCAAAACCTCAAATTCCTTTCTGCCTAAAAAGTGCAGTTCGTAGGTCTTAAAATAACAACTACTGCATCTAAACAGTGAACAGTGTGTCTAACAAAGAACCGCTTTGGATTCAGCCATGTATGCACAATTCTATACTGGACATAAAGTGCAATATTTGGGTGTAAAAGCCAAAATTTCATAACACACAGTGCACTATATAGAGAGATTCAGTCTTAGAATTTCCCAAGGTACGATCTTATAGATGATTAATATTGCCTATTAATGGGCTGTTTTTGTTGCAATTTTTAGCAATTTACCTTATTAAAGAATGGTTAATATTATACTAAAAAGAAACTTGTATCCATTAAATGGCTTATACACACACACACACACACACACACACACACTCAAGGTGTTGTAAGGCAAAATAGTCCCCAAAGAAAACATCACAAGACGTTGGAAACACACCCTTGAGATTCTGGTCCATGTTGACATGACTGCATCATGCAGTTCCTGTAGTTTTTTCAGGTGCAATTTCCTGCCATGCATCTCCTGTTCTACCACATCTCAAAAGGTGTTCTACTGGATTCAGATCCAGTGACTGGGAAGGCCACTAAACTGATTTCTTGAACACCATGTCACAAGGCAAAAGTTGTCTCAAACTGCTTTCTTGAACACTGATCTCATTGTCATGTTCAAGAAAGCAGTTTGAGACAACTTTTGCCTTGTGACATGGTGCATCATCATGCTGGAAGTAGCCATGAAAGGTGGTAAACTGTGGCCATAAAGGGATGCACATGGTCAGCAACAATTCTCAAATTGCTGTGGCATTCAGGTGATGATTGATCAGTATTAACGGGCCTAGTGTGCTAAATAAACACTCCCCACACCATTACACCACCTCCACCAGCCTGGACTGTTGACACAAAGCAGGTTGGGTCCATGTAGGTACCGAATTCTGACCCTACCATCTGTGAGCCTGTGCCCATTGCAGCCTCAGCTTTCCGTTCTTGGCTGACAGAAGTGGAACCCAATGTGATTTTTTGCTGTTGTAGCCCATCCGCCTCAAGGTTTGACGTATTGTGCATCCTGATATGCTTTTCCGGACAACACAATTGTACAGAGTGGTTGTCTGAGTTACTGCAGCCTTCGTGTTAGCTCAAACCAGCCTTCTCATTCTCCACTGACCTCTCTCATCAACAAGGCATTTTTGTCAGCAGAACTGCTGCTCACTGGATGGTTCTTCTTTATTGCACAATTCTGCGTAAGCCTGTTGTGTGCAAAAATCCCAGGAGATCAGCGGATCAGCAAAGAAAATACTAGAACCAGGCCATCTGGCACCAACAATCATGCCATGGTCATAATCACAGACCACATATTCTTCCTATTCTGATGACTGAAGTGAACATAAGCTGAAGCTGGATTTTATGCACTGCACTGCTGCCACACGACTGGCTGATTAGACAACTGCATGAATGAGTAGAGTGGATGGACAAGTGTTCCTAATAAAGTGCTGGGTGAGTGTATAACCAAGAGAAAATGCTTAGTTAGCTTAGAGAACCTGCCTGATACTGTATTTCACTTCACTTATCACAGTGCAAATGAGTGAAAAATTAAACCACTGGCAATAAAAGAACTGTAATTCCTGTATAATACTTAGCTATCCAGTTGTTGTTTTTATGCTGACGTTAGGGTAGATGTGGCTACTGATGTCATCACATGACCTTGTTTACTTCACTTCACGTTATGTTGCACTACAAGCATTTCAGGCTAGATTTGTTACAGAGTCAAATCTGATTTTCTGCTGGTAATGGTCAGATACCAAAACTGAGCATCAGATCTCTACCTAAACCACTTTAATCCGGACATGAGCCATTTGCAATTAAAATAAAGGCAGTGGCAGTTTGCACTAATAACACTCCAGCAGAATAATCCCTGTAATAATATCCCAGAAACTGTCTAATTGTCTTGATGCCTCTGACAGGTGTAAGCCCTGAATGAGGCAGCATTTCATTCCTAATGATCAACTGTCTTAAATTTTTAATTAAAAGATCTTTACACTGTTCTGTAAAGCTGTTGCTGCAAATGAACTGGAGCTTGTGTGGCTTTAACTGGACGTTAAAAAATCGCTTGTGGCCACAAAGACGTGATGGATTTCGCAAAAAAAAAAAAATAAATAAATATATTACTCTAGCCAAAATCCTCAATTCAGATCCGGAACTTAGGAAACAGTGACAGTATTTTCCTGACTGCGTGCCCACATACAAGAGCTATTAAACAAGTTCAGACGCTGACACTGTCAAGATGCTGATTCACCAAAAAACCCGCAAAGCAGCACAGCAGAAGTGAAATTTACTATATACATTCAGTGGAACTGAGGACAGCACTGTTAGAATCTAGAAATCAACTCAAAGTGCTCACTGTTATAAGAACACTTGCAAACCACAAGTTGAGCAAACTTACAACACTCAGGGCAACGGTCCCCACCTTTTCTCTCAGGGACGCACGTGCAAATCATCGGTCAGTCGTTGCGTAAGGACTACCAATAAGGGCCCTCAGGATTAGTCTCAGTCAGAGCTGGGTGATGTCCCCTACTCTATTACGTTTTAAACATTTCCAAATAATACCATTGCATACACTACCAGGGGTGGGTGGGTTTTGGGCATGTGGCTGGTAGTCTGGTTAGCATTAGCTATTAGCTTAACTAGCATGATAACAGCTCTGCTCACCAC